ATTTTTGCAGCATACTTTTCTAGACTGGTTTCCTTTATTTCATAGATAAGTACTTGCCTGTTTCACAATTTTGCACTTTGAAAATTGGATCTTTGTACAGACAAGAGTTTTAGGTTAGAGTCCATATGGCTACCTAAAATAGTAGCATTTATTTTGGGGGCCTGACATCTCTGACTGAAAAAAAAACCCAGGTCTTCATAGCTAAAAGCTGTCAAGAGGGAAACTGTTCCCTAACACTACTGAACACAACTGCGCTGTTCTGGATGTCAGAAGGATGTAGGTCCAGACACGTGGGTGTCCAACACCTACAGAATAACACTGTGAGGCACAATTTTGATTACATTAGGGTGAACATTGATTTACTGGAATAGGTTTGCTACTTTAAAATTCAGTTAAGAGAATTCTGGGACCACACAGACTTCCAGAGTATGCTGCAAGATAAACTGTACTTTTTTTTGCCAGAACAATTAGGTAAGGTAAAAAACAGGATACTTAAAATGTGCCAGCAGTGACATAATGTTCTGGGAATGCTTGACTTACTGAAAATTTTGTTATTCATTTTATATTGACGTATCGCCTCTGAAACATCTGTATTTAAGCAGAGATTTTGAAAAAAAACCAGCTGTTTCCAAGAAGCTTTTTTTCCACCCTGTTTAGGCTAAACAGAAACTCTGTATGTACAGTCAACAGAAGAGACGGATGATGCACACCATGACAGCCCGAGTCACACCCTCTAGAAGCGGCGGGTCTGACACGTCCTGTGTTGGACCTTCAGCCCGTTCACAGCTGATCTATGCACGCGCAAAGGCCTTCTCTTCAAAGGCCTGGCACCTAAGGCCATCAGGCTTCCAGAAAAAAAGATGGGTTATTCTAAAAAGCAACAGGAGAACAACTATAATAGTCAATGCAGCAAACCTTTTAAAAATTGTTATATTATAACAGTTACAGTGTAAGAATTCTGTGTTTAACTAGAATTACAATAACTAGCACAGTGCCCAAAATAAAATGGTTGGCAGTCCTGCTATGCCATTTACTCTTTTCCAGGGAGGTATAGATGTACCTTAGGAATAACTGGTCTGAATTTGGTGCTGTGAAAAATCTAATGTTGCTATTTTGAGGTGTATTTCTGTACTGGTTGTTTTAAAAGCAGCTTTCATTTTTTTGTTCCTCCAGGTATTTTTCTTTTTGATTTTATTACAGGTAAACTGTTCCAGATAGTTAATTCAGTTGGATTCTGCCTTGAATTGGAATCATCTTTCCAAGATTAAAAACATACCTGTCACTCAGGAAAGAGTTACCTGACTTTCCAGAAGCTTTTTTCACAGTTTGCCTCTTAACAGAATTCCTTTCGGGGCGAGACACTTCATATGGCTTTGTGCGGCCTGAGCGGAGCAGCATTGCGGAAGGACTCAAGAAATCCTGATAACCTGAGTTTCCTCTCTTTTCCAGTCCTAAAGTAGGAGTTAGAATTTGTCATTGTCCTGGTTTCAGCTGGGATAGAGTTAATTTTCTTCCTAGTAGCTGGTAAAGTGGTGTGTTTTGGATGTAGGATGAGAAGAATGTTGACAACACACTCTGATATTTTAGTTGTTGCTAAGCAGTGTTTATGCTAGTTAAGCACTTTTCAGCTTCCCCTGCTCTGCCGGGTGCACAAGAAGCTGGGAGGGGGCACAGCCAGGACAGCTGACCCCAACTGGCCCAAGGGCTATTCCAGACCATAGGATGTCATGCTCAGAATATAAACTGGGGAGAGTTGGCCGGGGAGCAGTGATCACTGCTCACGGAAGGGCTGAGCATTGGTCAGCAACTGGTGAGCAATTGCATTGTGCATCATTTGGCTTGCATATTATATTTACTACTACTACTACTACTACTACTAGTAGTGGTAGTATTTTCCTCTGCTGTTTTATTAAACTGTCTTTATCTCTACCCACAGGTTTTACTTTTTTTCTCTGATTCTCTTCCCCATCCCACTGAGGCAGGGGAGAGTGAGCGAGCAACTGTGCAGTGTTTGGCTGCCTGCTGGTTTAAACCACAACAGTCATAACTTCATATTTTGGTTGAGAAATTAATTTGAAAAGAGTATAATGTTGATAAATGACAGTTAAAGGAAGCAGGATAAACTCAACAGATGTTTGACTGCTTGCATGACCCAAGTCTTTCTTGCAAGGCAAAAATGGTGTGTTTCTGGTGACAGTAAATCAGTCATCTATCTACACTTCCACTAAGATGCAGATTATCATGGATACAATTGTGTTGAAGGAATATATTTTAAAAGACTTCCCCTTACATAAAATATAAGCACTTTATATTACTTCAACTTAACTTATTTATGCTCCTCAATCACAGGAAGCTAGCTACACTTTGCTAGCTGGATTGAAGAACCATATTATTTTTGTCCTTCAGAACACAGTCTAAGATAATTTTCCAGGTGACTGAAAATGATGCTAACTTCAACACAGCATAATCTGACTTTCAGTAAAGACACAGAATCATAGAATTGTTTAGATTGGAAAAGACCTTTAAGATCATCAAGTCCAACCGTTAACCTAACATTGCCAAGTCCACCACTAAATTGTGTCCCTAAGCACCTCATCTACCTGTCTTTTAAATACCTACAGGGATGAGGACTCCACCACTTCCCTGGGCAGCCCCTTCCAATGCTTAACAACCCTTCCAGTGAAAAAATTTTTCCTAATGTCTGACCTAAACCTCCCCTGGTGCAACTTGGAACCTGCCATTTCCCCTTGTCCTATCACCTGTTACCTGCAAGAAGAGACCAACACCCACCTCACTACAGCCTCCTTTCAGATAGTTGTAGAAGGCAATAAGGTCTCCCCTCAGCCTCCTCTTCTTCAGACTAAACAACCCCAGTTCCCTCAACTGCTCCTCAGAAGACTTGTACTCCAGAACCCTCACCAGCTTTGTTGCTCTTCTCTGGACATGCTCCAGCAACGCAACGTTCTTTCTTGTAGGGAGGGGCCTAACACTGAATACAGCCTCAGCAGTGCCGAGTACAGGGGCACGATCACTTCCCTACTCCTGCTGGCCACACTATGCCTGATAGAAGCCAGGATGCCATTGGCCTTCTTGGCCACCTGGGCACACTGCTGGCTCATATTCAGCCGGCTGTCAACCAGTACCTCCAGGTCCTTTTCTGCCAGGCAGCCCTCCAGCCACTCTTCCCTGAGCCTGTAGCATTGCATGGGGTTGTTGTGACCCAAGTGCAGGACCTGGCACTTGGCCTTGTTGATCCTCATACAGTTGGCCTCAGCCCATCGATCCAGCCTGTCCAGGTCCCTCTGCAGAGCCCTCCTACCCTTGAGCAGTTCGACACTCCCACACAGTTTGGTGTCATCTGCATGACATGCAGCTATATTGCGGTCTTAAACCAAGGTTCAGGAAACATTACCTCAGGAATAAGGACTGGAGTTCAGAAATTGGACCAGTACATTAGAATTATTAATGAATATCACAAGTGACCAGGAAAAAATCTCCTACCATGAGCAACCATTCATACTTTGAAATTATTAATGTTTACTTTACAATTCAATAATTTGAATTCAGTGTGCTCTGCATTTTCCAAACAATGCTGTATTTGTGATTATGTTTACAAAAAATAATGCTCTTCAGTTTTTGAAGGCTAGATGAATAACAGGATTTAAGCATTACCTAGGCTAGATACCTTAAGGAGAAGTTGGTGTCTAAGAATGGGAATTACATTGACTGAGGAACCAACCAGGCAGCTAATAAGATATCCTGAGGACACAGCTTAAATCACCACATTTCAGAAAAGCTAAGGACCTTACTTTGGTGTGAAGAAAGGAAAACTGGAATTCTCAAGCCTACACACTCTCCTGAAGTGAACTGTTTGTTACAACAGTTTATGGCAAGTGAAGACCACAGAAAACAAGAAGCTTCAATTTTGTCTGGCACCCTGGCAAATGAACCCAGAGAAGATGTGTATGATTTTAGCTCCAAACAGCTTTACACAGAATAACTAAATATCAGTTAGGCCAGAGCAATTATGGCTCTGACCCTAGTGTAATGATTTGTGAATTCACCCAGGGGAGGGGAGTTTCATCTTACGGTTTGGTTCAGTTCACTGGTGCAGAATTTCACATTAAATATTTACATAAAATGGTAGAAATTAAAGACTTCTGCCCCTGGCAATTCCCTTTTTACTAGACTATGAAGGCTAACTAGGGCTCTTTTTTACTCTCTTTGGCTCACTAGTTGTAACTAAACATTCAGTTAGGCCACCAAAAAATGTATTAGAAAGTATCCTAGTAAAGATGTCTCATTTTTTCAAATGTCTGATAATTTGTAGTCAGAGGTAGAAAGTAAAGACAGAGTCTTCTTCATCTTGCTGAAACTGCTTTATCACTGAGCATGTTAAACAAAAGAGAAGATCCTTTGCGGTTTTCCACTAAGTCCTAACTGGGACCTGACCTCTGCAAACATCTAACTGAATCAGGCTCTACAGAGTATGAGCGCAGTAATACCAGCTTGTGGATCTTGAGAGATGTTGGTGTGCTAGATGTTCAGCATTAACAGAGCACTAAGACTTTGTTAGATCTAGGATGTTAAAAACCAGACATGTAATCCCCTACAGACCACTCCCACTGAAAACACAAGTGCAACACTAGTTTGGCTGCACTTGATCAGAAGTTCTGAAGATCCCAATTCCTAATCTTTATACTCAGTGAAGCAGTCAAGGAATTGTCTTCTGCTGGATTTGCCCTTCATACACTGCAGTTACTAATGCAAATTTATGTTGTTAGTCCTAAATGCTTAATGAAATGAATTTTTTTTTTTGAGAACCAATGTGATAACATGCAAACCATCTAGATTCAGAGTCTTGCATCTGCATTATTTACACCCACCAAAAAGAAAAGGAGGATGATTACAAGCCAAGATCCTGAAGAATTCCTGAAGAGGGCAGGCCAGTT